CCTGCCACAACGGATTCCGCTTCCATGAGGATAACTACCGTAGGAAGTTGCAGCCGTATTGCGTCGGTATGTCACCACATGAAGAGAGAGTGTTTTCTCTCTTTTTATGTCATAGGCATAAGACATGTTATGAAAGACGTTTGTCGTACGTAGTCCTAGTGTGTCCACTTCTCGTCTGGTTGTAGATGTGGACGAGTGTTCAGAGAACAATGGCGGGGGCGAGCAGCATTGTGTGAATGACCCCGGCAGCTACCACTGCGAATGCCCGCCACCGCTCGTTCTTGCGCCGGACGGCAAGAAATGCATGCGACGACTCGCGCTCGCCATACCTGTGGGTAAACTACACGCACCCCATAATTTGACATCTAAAAATGGATGGTTTACTTAAATGATTGCTTAATGCTGATTTATTGGTCGAAATCTACGCTTAACTATTGCTACAACTACTTTAGAGACAGCTTTTCTTGATTAAATAAGTTGAGACAATTTCTTAACTGTTCAATGGATGCCAGCGAGCCCCAAAACACAGTTCGACTCTGGTACACATACCAGGATGACATAACCATCGCTGTACTATTCTCGATAATCTAATGCCCCCAGGAGCCGCTACCACTAGTCCGAGCGTCATCACGTTGCTACGCGCCGTGTGATTCAGTGACATTGCTGTCGCGACGTGTTCGACAACTCGGTGACCAGCTGCGAGCCACGCAGCAAGCGCTCAAGAATTTACTAGAAAACCCCATACTCAAGGGAGAAGGTATACTAGACAAATTATTTCGAAGATTTAAATACTGTACTTACTTTTGAATGGTTTAGACAGAAATCAAATTGTGACAAGCTTTTTAACGAGATTTCATAGTTCTAAGTAGAATCAATTAAATTAAAAAAGAAAAAAATTTGTAATTGTAGATGGCGACAGATTTGCTGAAGGCACGTTCACTTACCGAGTCCTGGATTCTACAGCGCCGCTAGAGGGCGGTTATTGCCGTTGCGAGAGAGGGCCTAGGGTTAGTCGTGCTTTTTAAAATACTGTATAATTATTTATGTAAGAGGCTTCCAAAAGTATTCCACTCATACGTAAAATGGATTATGTAATTTTAGGGACCACCTGGTCCAGCGGGTATGGAGGGACCAAAAGGAGACACGGGGCCCAGAGGCCCGCGGGGCTCACGGGGACCCAAAGGCTCCTTAGACCTGATGCTGCTCCTCATAGCTGACATCAGGCACGATATACGTAATCTCGAGGCTCGTGTTTACAAAGAGGGTGAACAGTGAGTACACGTTTTTTTAATTTGTTAAGTATTTCTAAATCGCTATAATAGATGGCGCCACTTGACCATTTGTTTAGAATGCGTGCAAAAACGAATTGTGTTTCTAATATTCTTTGGACTGCCAAACAGTAACGAAACATGTTTGTACGTTTTTCATTAAAAATAAAAGGAGCTTAGACTATTTAAAATCATAATTATTTGTTTCATTCACTTAACACTAGATGGCGCTTCGTCGAATATTCATCGCGATGTGTTTTTGTTTCAAACATACACTAAAGCGTTCCACCAAGAAAATTTCGTTACTCTGGTTTCCCTTCAAAACGTATAAATCTTTCGCCTTTTACTAAAGATTTCCGTGGAGGGGAACACTCAAATGAGTCTAATTAGTGATGGGACTCGAGTGATTTTTTTTCACTCGAGTCACTCGGTACTCGTAACTTTCTCACTCGAATGCCACTCGAGTGAAGATAAGACTCGAGTGATGTTTATAGACGTGAGTCACTCGAAATATAAATATCAAGGAACCAAAATTTTAAAACCAATAAAACAATGTTAATTTAACATAAAGAAATTATTTTCGCATTAACGTAAAAGTTACTCAAAAAATCTGTACAAAATGTGTAAAAATAGTGTTTTCCTTTAAACTAAACCTGTCTACATAATCAAGAAACCTCTTATATCATCTATTAGTTGAAAATTTACAGTGTACTATAAATAAGTTCTAATCTGTTTTAATAAATTCTTACAAGTAATTTTCATGAGATCCAAATATGGACAGTTTGATTATGTTCTTAAACAATTTTGCTAATAAAATTAACTTAAACGAAGCTTAAATAAACTCTACAAAAGAACAGAAATAGTGCGTTTTTAAAAAGATAACAAATTTAACTGAAAATGATGTAAAAATTTGTTACTCCGCTTAGTATAAACCAACAAAATGGTTACGAGTCTCGCGTAATTCGAGTCAACTCGAGTCACTCGCAACTCGGGTTGTCAAAAATTTCACTCGAGTCCGAGTAAGAAAAAAATGACTCGAGTCACTCGAGTAAAAAGCAACTCGAGTCCCATCACTAAGTCTAATATATTTTTGTCACCCTACGTTCGTAGGGTAAATAATACAAATATAAATAGATCTCAAATAGACACCCTTATGTCTGTGTCTAGATTGACACGGGCGAGTCTAATATAAAAATGATCGGTTACTTACCACTTATCATTTGGGTCTCTAGTCGTAATAAGAATGGATTAAAGTTGAAAACGGGAAACAAGTTATCCAATATTGATTGATTTTATTTAGATCAATTTCTAAAAATAAACTTGACGTGTTATTTGTCCGTAGTCCGGAGCGCTTCAACCTACAAAAGGCGTGGCGCAGACAGAGAAAGCAAGAGAAACAGGAGAGGGAGAGTGAGACGGAACAAGAGCTGGAGGCGTACACAGCGCCACCTGTGCACCAAACTGATGAACGCGTTGAGATATCACCCAACGGTAAAACATACAGGCCTATTTTTAAAAACGTTATCTAATATTGTAAATGCAAATGTTTAGATGGATGACTGTTTGTTAGAAGGTATTTCCAGAACGATCTTGTAGATATTCTTATACATACTGTTTTTTATTTTCGCGCGGAAGAATTATTAAAAATCGGATTAAACTGTACATTACAAGATTAATTCTTTGGGTTAATTTATCCATTGCATGAGATTGGAGAGAATCGGTTTTGTCTCTCCAGTTCCTAAAATATTTTTCTGCAGCGTCTTTTGCGAGATCCTGTCCAACTAGTTTTCCAGTTAAAATTATGGTATACAGGTTTGAACGGGGCGATCTCGCAGTCGGAGTCGACCACCGAGTGGGTAGCGGCGCGCTCCTCGCTGGCGGAGATGGACGACAAGCTGCGTCAGTTCCACCTGCTGGCGAACACTACCAGCCCCGGGGATGAAGACGCCGACACTGACTACGATTATAGCTTCTACTAGGATTATATTATTTAAAATTTACTTGTTTTATTTACTTACGAGCTGTTCCCATGCGACTTCATCCGCATAAAAATTTCATTTTATTTTTCAAATGTGTCAAATTATCAATTGCAAATGTCAAAATGACATGTCATGATGTCAAACCATAACAACCTTGCTTCCTTGATGTTGGCAGCAACTTATGGTCTCTTTCCTACATTAGGGTTTTTATACAAAATATTTACCCCTAAGTTTAACGGCATGAAAATATATAGCCTCAAGCGTGACGTATGTGTAGGATTTTTTATTTAAAAAAGAGTTATTCGAAAATATGCTGTGATTGCTAACGTCTTAGGCAACAAAGAAGTGTGTTTACGCTTTATTATATTAGTATAGAAGTATAGATAAGATTTCTATAAACTATCCTGTCCTTATCAATTTGTACCGTTTTCTACATATAAAGTTTTTTTGTTTATATTGCTTGAAAACGCTTGTTGATAAATACCAGTTAAATCTTTATTATTTGTTTGAATTCTTTACTAATAAGTACCGTTACTTTTACAAAAAATCTGTAAACCGTAATGTTATTAAAACAAATTAATAATTATAATAAATTTAATAGATATTTCTTAACATTATAAGGAATTTAAATCAACATTATTTCCACATATGTAAAGTGAGGCTCCATACGTGAAGGAATTAAAAATTAAGAATTTTGTGTGAACAATGGATGATAACTGACTCAGACGTATACTGAAACGACATTTACATATGTAACAGCGACTTCAAATTACATAAAATTTTTAACACTTGTCAGATTGTAAGCGGCGCTTCTTAAGCAAAGTGTTTTAAAGTCAAATACTGAAATTAATCTTAATACTACGCTTCGTAATATCCGTTTACAATCTGATAGACAAAATTTTAAAGGAATCTGTTACTTTGACCGCAAAGATATTCAAAAAGGACAATTCTAGTGTTGGTCATAGGCTGTAGTAGTAAATTATTATTTACTGTCATTATTTGTAATGGTTCTGAAGATCATTATTAATTTGAGAAAATAGTGGGTTTTTTCAATCATAACTATGAATCTATCGATTTCAACTTCTAAAAGAATAAAAATCGAAAATCGAAAAGATTCACATCTGATTTTACACAACCCATAAATTATAATCAATCTTATTTCGACAAACTACATAATGCTATTACATATATAACTGGTGTTTCAGTTGTCGTCAGCTTGGTGTCAGTGCGGCGGCTAGCTGGC